GTACAGGGCTACATATCATGTACTACGGATCATTTAACCCATTCATGTTAGCAGAGGATCATTGTAAATGTATTGTCTGCACTGTATTAGCAGTATATACTCTATATAGAGTATATACTGCTAATACAGTGCAGACAATACATATACAATGCAATTTGATAAATCCCCCCCGTTATATTCCTGAAGAAAAAACTGTATTAGCAGTATATACTCTATATAGAGTATATACTGCTAATACAGTGCAGACAATACATATACAATGCAATTTGATAAATCCCCCCCGTTATATTCCTGAAGAAAAAACTGTATTAGCAGTATATACTCTATATAGAGTATATACTGCTAATACAGTGCAGACAATACATATACAATGCAATTTGATAAATCCCCCCCGTTATATTCCTGAAGAAAAAACTGTATTAGCAGTATATACTCTATATAGAGTATATACTGCTAATACAGTGCAGACAATACATATACAATGCAATTTGATAAATCCCCCCCGTTATATTCCTGAAGAAAAAACTGTATTAGCAGTATATACTCTATATAGAGTATATACTGCTAATACAGTGCAGACAATACATTTACAATGATCCTCTGCTAACATGAATGGGTTAAATGATCCGTAGTACATGATATGTAGCCCTGTACCCCCTTTTCCACTTACAGAGCTAGGTTATTTTTCTTTTAAATAAATATTAATGTAATTTTATTGGTATCTATCTACCATTAGCTGCCTCATTTCCCACCCTCGGCTTATATTCGGGACGGCTTATACTCGAGTATATACGGTAAATATTAAATGGATACACAGGATTTGCTTTAGTTAGGATATATTTTGCTTTTTGCTAAAGCTTTAGGTGTGAAAGACAATAGAGATGGTGAAACACAAAGGCGCTGTTTGACCATTGAGAGATCTATTGGCCACAGTTTTGGTCATAAATAGGCATGTTAGGGCTAGCAAAGTACTCATGTTAAAGGAGTATGGAGTTGAGAATACAGACAGACATCTCCTGGCACCAGGTTATTTCTGGCAACACAACCGTAATTAAACAGGGTTTTCTGACCAAAGTTGATTAAGGCCAAAGTCTTCCACTGCCTAAAAACATGTGATGGTCACCCAAACCCAGCAATTTCGTGTCTATGAGTAACTGCAGGAGACCTGCTTTCAGAGCACACTAAACTCAATTTTCTTTAAATAAAACTCTGTTGATCCTGAGATGGTAGAATGTTGACAATCTACCTGCACCAAAAGCACTGCTGTACAATGCATGTAATAAAAGGTCACAATAAGTTGGATGCATGGTGCAGCAACAATGTGCCAGTATGCATGACATTGCAGGGGGAAAATTTGAAGCCAGTACAGGTGTGATCTAAGGAGCTAGCAGATACAAATATAACAGTGAGCAAAGGAAACAAGTCATAACCATGGAAGTAACAAAGCTGTATCCTATACACACATTTCCCTACACCTCAAACAATTACATAAACATGGATGTGAGGGTGCCTTTAAGATGCTGAAATAGAAAACAATGAAAATGTAAAATATACTGTTATAGCAGCTGAGAAAAGAATGTCACATCACATAAGTGATAATCCTAAAAAAAGAAGCAGAACGCCTTATTACAGCAGCTTTCAAAACAAAGAAAAAGGGATTCTGGTTCTAACATGGACAGTGGATGACAAGTTTTATGGTGAGCCAGAACTTCAAGATCAGGCTCCATAAGGTCACCATGTATGATCACATTAGCAGTGAAGTGGCAGTAATGGCATAAAATGAGAGAGTAGCCACTTGGGGCCAGCTATGGAAGGCTCCAAGTTTGCAACAGTTAAATAAAACAGCGAGCAGAATCCCATTTGAGCAATACAGTAATTTGTTGTATGGTGTTTGGTGGCTGAAATAAAGTAGAAGCAAAACAAAGTTAAAATATACAGTTAGAAAATCCAGCACTAGCACCCAATGACATAACCGAATTCCAGCTAGAAAGGCAAAGGTGGTAATTCACTATTGAACCCAATATACAGTATATATACACAAATATATTATTGCAGAGATCTATGTGTGCAAGCAAAAATACTGTGAGGTTTTTTTTGCAAAGTCAAACCACGTGAAAATTCCCTTTGCAAATTGAACGAGTTCTACTCTTTTAGTTAATCCTACCTAGTGTTTTTGCTTCAGGAATATAACGGGGGGGATTTATCAAATTGCAACTGCGACAGTTTTAGCCTCTTAGATAATTTTTTTATGTGCAAATCTGTCTTTTAACATGTGCCCCTGTTTTCACTTCAGCTTGCACTACTTTTCCAACTGCACATGTTTTACACTTGCTTTCCCCAGAGCTTGCACTACTTTTCCAACTGCACGTTTTTTACACCTGTTTTCATCTGCACTTGTTCTGGGGCTGTATGAAACTGGAGCATCACCTAAGAAAACAATCACAACTTCTCAAGTCCCCATGACCACTTCAAGAAGCGACAGTTAGGCTTTTTGCCTGAAGTTACAAGTCTTCTTTCCTGGAGTCTTATTAAACCTCATTTATTAACAACATTACACTAGCATCATATATCTGGTGCAAATATATTCCGTGCAAGTTCATACACTCGCAATTGCTATGATAAATTCCCCCCACTGTGTCTGTATACATATATTCTTATGTTCAGAACGAAAGATGAAAGTTTTATTTTTGAAAATGATGCATATGAATATCTAATTTACCACTGTTTGGTGTCTTTCAACCAATGATAATATTTTATATTTGCCCCTGTAGCTATCAGGAGGAGCTCTAAGTTCATCTTTATTTTTCCCCAGGCTATCTCTACTCTGAGAAAAGCCTTTGTATTTCCAAAGCTGAATAGCTATAGATCCACATTACACACAGCTAAATTAAATAGAAGTAACAGATCTTCTCCCTTCCTGCTTTGTTTTTACAGCTCTTTATGAAGTTTCAATTAGAGAGAGGCAGAGACAGCAGCATCTGCTGGGTCACTCTTCTGAAAGGTCAGAATGTCTAGCAAGCACTGCATCAGGGTTGGACCTGGTATTAAATGTTCTACTATCTTAAATTTGAAACTCTGGGATTTATTCACCAGCTTAAATTTACAGTGAAACCCATTTCCCCTGTAGCCCATTTTGTTTTCCCCTCTTAGCAGTGAGCTGCCAGCACAGGAAGAGATAGAGTGCGGAGACCCACTTTAATTACTTCACAGTCGCTCTTAAAAATCCAGAGGATGAATTACTCCACACATCTGGTGGCCTGCCAACTCACTGCTAGGAGGAAGGAGTAAAATGAAATACTGAGAGCAAGTGGAAGTGAAAGTGCTTTTGCAGAAACTGAGGCTGAATAGCTCTCCACATTGTTTGCAGCTACCGAGGTCAGTGAGGGCTTGTCCTACAGATTTACCACTTTTCAAGAATATGTTAACATTTTAAAGTCTATAGCCTGGCTACAGTTCTACTTTAAAAAGGACCTAAACTAAAAATGTAAGTCCACTTTAAACAATTTTGGAGACATGAGAAATGATTGGCTAGGGGTACCAATATGGCTAATGTACCACTGCCCCATAACAGTGAGATTTTCATAATGCTACAAGCATTATGAACTAAACCCATTTTAAAGTGACATTAAACTCAGGAGTTCAAACTTAAAAATGCATTCAAATACCCCATTAACAAAAATGTAGATTGTATGTGCACCACTCAGCCTGTGGATCCTCAAATCATCTCTGAATTGGTGCTGACACTGTCCTTCCTTCTGCAGGGTGGCTAATTTATTCCCTATGGTCCCTGTGTGTGTGTTGTAAAGTAGCCACTGTGCCAAATTTGCTCACATGATAGATCATTTCAATTCAAATTAGTAAAGTATTTTAGACCATAATAAGAGAAAGTTTGCAACTCTATTGAAATTACAGTCTAACATTGGAGCTAGCATGGTGCGGTGGCTACTTTACAACACACACACAGACCACGGGGAACAAAAGTAGCCACCCTCCAGAAGGACAGTGCCATCACCAATTCAGAGATGATTTATGGATCTACAGCTGGGTGATACTCAAATATTTGTATTAATAGTTAAAAGGTACTTGAATGCATTTTTAAGGTTTAACTCCTGAGTTTGGTGTCACTTTAAAGGCATATGGGCTGCAACATCTCTGTACTCTGGGTGTTGACATCAACAGTCTTCAGCCACTTTGGAGACTTCAGTGATGTAATTGCCCCAGTGCACGGCTACTACAGGATCTCCTTGCCTGGGTGTCCCTAAAAACGTTAGGTGTCCCTAAACACCTGAAGTACTGTCTGGCATACACTTGAAAAAAGAGAAATAAAAGACCCCTGTCTCTGCATTGCTATGAAATACATGTTGATTTTGCAGGATGCCTGGGAGTAAATCACATTAAAAATTAAACTTTTTTTTTCATGTCTATTTGCTTTTGGTAGAACAAATCATTCCAATTTGACCTGAAAACAAGCAGGGGCAAATGAAACAAATACAGAGGCACGCTTGCTCCACCTACAGGAGAGAAGAACGTGGCATGTTACTGGGTCAGCACATAACTGCATATATTAGAATAACTGCATAGAATTCCCCGAAGAACAGCAGGGCAAGGAACAGATTGTTTCCGAGATTCATTGCACATCCATCTGGCTGAACAACGCTCACACTTAAATTAAAAAGCATAGTAAGGAAAGGGAATGTATTTTGCATTTAACACTTCAGCTTTCTTGCAGACATTCTGACACCAGATTTAAAGACTTCAAAAGAAAATCAAAACATGTTTTGAAAAATCAATTCTATTGTTTTTCTCTCCCCATCAACACCTAATTCACCAGCGTGTGTGAAAGTGTCTTTAAATTGTGCTCAGAAAGTAGTTCATAGCAGAGTAAAAAGATTGCCAGTAGAGTGAAAAGCTAAATTCAGTAGGGATGGTATTCCCTATGCTCAGCTCCTTGGTTGAGCTGCCTTTATAGTGTGTGGATCTGGATAAAGCTGTTAGTTTACCATTCTCATTGCTATAGTTCATCAGCATGCCACAAAAGACAGTCATGAGCTTCTCATTTGCTGGATCTGTTAAAGTGCATATTGACCGCAAATGGTCAACTACAATTTTTGCACCACCCGCTTGGTCAACCGCGTGCCTGCCCTCATCTGGAAACAAACAAAAAGGCACATTAAAATAGAAAGCATTCCGTTAGCAGAACCCTCATTTGATATAATACAATAAAATATTCCAGGAGCACATGTGAATTTCAGTCAGTAGGAAGACAAAAAGCTATGCTTTTCATTTAAAAAATCCCCCCTAAAATATTGGACAGAAGTAGCTCAAGTGAATTGCTAAAATTTCATTGTATAGAAATTCTGTGCCGAGAGAAATTTGGTGGAGACCTCTCCTGATGCCAGTTGGCTGTCAGTCTGAACTCCAGGCAAATATAAGAGACAAAATAATGCAGCTCTGTATTTATGAATACACCATTCAATGTATTATTTAATACATTTGACCTAATATAGTACCTGAATTTGAATATCAGCCTTTTGCAGTCCCTGTACACAAGAGTTAAGACTGGAAGAGGAAGAAGCAGCACAAGGATCCAGTCTGTTCATGTGCTAACATGGAACATGCTGATAGAAAGAGAGAGCAGAGTGACAGAGAGATGAGCTCATCAGTGTGCTGCTTCTCCTTCACTGTCCAGTCACAGGCTGGGATGAAGGGGTGACCTGTAAGTATTATCTTACTGCAGTAGAGAAACAAACATCAGGCCCCCACTAGTGCCAGATAGGGCTGTTCTGTGGGTCATGGCTGTGTAATTTCAGAGCTGGATGGGAAAATAAAAAATACTTTGGCATGTAAAACAGCTCCTATATATAAATATATATATATTTTGCCTGCATGCCCTAGGTCTGCAACTAAAAATGCGTTGAAGTCAGAGGATCAGTCAACACTGCCAGGCAATTAGAATGTCAAGAGTGCAGCAAGGACAGCCTGCATATTTCTTTCTGCACAGGTTTCCTTTAAAATGTTAGTTGGACTGATAGTTCTAAATTTGGGCTTCAATTGTATATTTATTCTAATTTTACACGTAATAGAATGTGGCTACAAAACAACTGTTTTCCATGTACTGCTCATTGCAGAATTCTCTGACCAAAAAATATTTACATCGGATATAAAAAGCAAACCTGTGGCAGTCTTCCAAAATGGTTTACTGGCCCCCTTGACTAAATAGCAGGCACCTCTAGGTACCTGCTCACTTGCACTGTTAATTTCCTGAGCACCCTGGGAGAAATAGGACACAGAGCAATTCATTATATAAAAGCTTTGGTGGATGCACCCTGGCCCACAAACTCCCACTCATCCCTATTGCTCACTGAGGTCACATATAAGATATAGAGGCCAGTGGAAAAGCATGGCGGCAGGCCAGTGCATGACCATCTAAGCTCCGTTTGTAAAATTTCATAATAGAAGCACTTCGGTTTGGGGCCCCTAAAAAGCTAGTTTACCATATTGGGAGACAAACAGGTATGTGAAATCCAACTGAGACAAGTGGTTGTGTGGTATTATAGGGCAATAAAAGCCTGTACAGTGGCTTGCAAAAGTATTCATTTTTCCTATTTTGTTGCATTACCACATGGAATTAAAATGGATTTTTATTTGGATTACTTGTAATGGACATACACAAAAAAGTCCAATGGAAAAAAAAGGAATGTGAAATAAAAAAAATAACATGTTGTAAAAAATAAAAAATGCAAGAGTAATGCATGCACATTAATTCACCCCCTTTGCTATGATTCCCTACATAAGATCTGGTACAATCATTTACTTTCAGAAGTCACATAATAAGTTAAATAAAGACCACTTGTGTGCAATCTAAGTGTCACATGATTTCAGTATATACAGTACATACACCTGTTCTGAAAGGCCCCAGATTCTGCGACACCACTAAGCAAGGAGCACCACCAAGCATGTGGCACCATGAAGACCAAGGAGCTCTCCAAACAGGTCAGGGACAATGTTGTGGAGAAGTACAGATCAGGGTTGAGTTATAAAAAAAATATCTGAAACCTTGAATATCCTACAGAGCACCATTAAATTAATTATTAAAAATGGAAAGAATATGGCACCACAACAAACCTGCCAAAAGAGGGCCGCCCACCAAAACTCACGGACCAGGCAAGGAGCGCATTAATCAGAGGGGCAACAAAGAGATCAAAGATAACCCTGAGGGAGCTGCAAAGCTATGGAGTATTTGCACATAGGACCATTCTAAGCTGTACACTTCACAGAGCTGGCCTTAATGGAAGAGTGGCCAGAAAAAAAAGGCAATGCTTATAGAAAAAAAAATATGCAAACATGTTTACTGTTCACCAAAAGTCATGTGGGAGACTCCCTAAACATATGTAAAAAGGTCAGATGAGACTAAAATTGAGCTTTTTGATCTTCAAGGAAAACGCTATGTGTTTCGCAAACCCAAGACCTCATCACCCCGAGGACTGCATCTCCACAGTGAAGCGTGGTGGTGGCAGCAACATGCTGTGGGGATGCTTTTTTAGTTTTAGACATAGTGGGAAAGGTACAGAACCCCTGCCTCCCCTGTAACAACACCTCCACCTTTTTTCAATAAAACAGGGAGGGGTTAGAACCTTTGTCAGGTTATTGCTCCGTTTTACTAGTGATAACTCCTATTATTTCTGTCCTGGTGTCGTAGGTACCAGAAATTAGGTGAATACTTGCCAGTGGTGTCATAGACTGCAATAAAATTGTGACAGAATATTTTACTCTTTCCAAATCTATTCAAAACAAAAAAAAAAGGTTTTGTCTGTGATTGGGCTTAAAAGGAAACGCTAACAGTCCTATAGTCAACAATGTTCATATAGTAGCCACATAAAATTGATCCTAACCTATCCTAACATATAATACTGCTGAATAAGTACAATTAGAAAGTTTTTAGAACCTATGGTGTGTAACCTGACAACTAACTAGTAATCCATATAAACTGAACACGATCATAATGCTGCACCCTCACTCAACGGAACTAATAAAAGCGAAGATAATTTTCAGCTAAAACACTACAGGTTACCAGCTGCATATGCTATCGGAACTTCTAGCTGCCTGGGACGAAGTTGGTATTTGTGTGATACAGATAATCCTCGCTTAACGACTTACCTGCTTTGCGACCACTCGCACTTACGGCCCTCCTCCGAGCAACCTCCGACATTGCGCGTCAGTGCGACGTGTCGCCGTCGGAAGCGATGTCCTCTGATCTTCACTGCGGGTCCCGGTAAGTATTTTCATTGCCCGATGTACAGTACACTGTTCGGTACTGTACATCTGCAACGCTATGCAGTACAGTACTGTATAGAGTTCCTCACTTAACGACCAATTTGTTTAACGACCTGGTCGTAGGAACGGAACTCGGTCGTTAAGTGAGGAATACCTGTATAATTTTAACACTATTTAATGGCAAGAAAACTATGAGAGGATAACCAAATAACACTGATTTATCTTAAGCTTCACTTCTAATAGTAAATGTTATAATGACTGTACGTAGGGAACCATGCCTAGAGAATTAAAGAAATCCTAGATGTGCAGACAAAGGCAAGAAATTACATCAAAAGTATTCCATGACACTCTCTCCCTTTTCCTCACTAAGGGCTCATTCACACATCCACAGGAAATGGTACATGCGTTTGTTTATGTACCAGGGAGGCGCCCAGGAGTCATAGGTCTTCTGTGCTACCACAGCCAGCAGACTGCACAAAAAAAAAATATATCAATGACAGTCTGACAGATGCAGCGACTGTACTGTGGGTCATGGCTGTGGATCTTCCCGCACATCTGCACGGCCCAAGATGCAGACACTGGTTTTCAAAAACAGCCACAATCTTCATCAAGAGGAAGATATCCTCTACAATCTTGACCTGATACGGGGAGGTTGTTTCACTGTGTATTCTACTCTTTTTGTGAGCAAGCCCTTCGAAGCTCTGACATAGATGGCACAAACAGAAAACAAAAATAAAATATTGTGTCATATAGTTACATAGTATTTGAGGTTGAATAAAGACATACTGTAAGTCCATTAAGTCCAACCAATTGTGTGTATGTATATGGTGAGGCTGGTGTGTGCATGCGTTAGCTGAAATCACTGCATGTGGCAGCGAGTTCCAGACCCTAACCGATCTAACTAAGAACCCCCTTCGCCCCCTTGTGCTAAAAAATTTTCTCCACCACTTTTAGATGATGGCCTCTAGTCTTTGTTATGGAGTTAACCATATTGAGTTTGTTGCTAATGTTGCCATCACCATTGAACATTTTGTACATGAAAATCATGCCCCCCCCTAATCTCCTTACTTCCAACGCAAACATATTTAAATTTAGTAGCCTTGTCTCATAGCTCTGGTCCTCCATCCCCTTAATGAGTTTGGTTGCTCTCCACTGGACTCTTTCCAGCACCAGGACATCCTTTCGGTGGACTGGTGACCAAAACTGGACCTCATACTCCAGATGAGGCCGAACCAGTGATCTGTAAAGTGGCACAATTATAGACTTGTCTCTGCAATACATCCCCTTCTTAATACAGTACAGGACTCTGCTTGCTTTGTTACAGCAGCCTGGCACTGCAAGCTATTATTCAATATGTGGTCTACAATGACCCCTAAATCTTTTTCCATTTCCGACTTCCCTAGTGGCATACCCATAATTGTATAGCCCATTTGCCTATTTTTAACCCCAAAGTGTATTACTTTGCATTTATCGACATTAAAACTCATCTGCCATACAGTTGCCCACTCCCCTATTTTATCCAGGTCCTCCTGTAATGTTATAATGTCTAACTCCGTGTATATTAGCCTCCCGATTTTGGTGTCAACAGCAAACACTGAAACATGGCTATTCACACCCTCCCCAATATCGCAAATAAACAGGTTGAATAGCATGGGGCCCAGCACAGAAACCTGAGGCACACCGCTCATGACCCTAAACCAGTCTGAAAAGGAGCAATTTATCGATACTCTCTGGACACGTTGCTGTAGCCAGTTTTCTATCCACGTACACACCATTTCCTCTATGCCCAGAGCCCTCAGCTTGTGTAGCAAGCGTTTATGTGGCACCGTGTCAAGAGCTTTTGAAAAATCCAGATATACTACATCCACCGGCCTCCCTCCAGATCTCTACTTACCCCTTCGTAAAAAGTTAGCAGGTTGGTCTGGCAGGAACGGTCCTTCCTAAATCTATGCTGGTTATCATTTACTATGCCATTATCCTGAACAAACTCTACTAAGTAATCCTTAATCATTCCCTCTAACAGTTTGCAAACTATCGATGTAAGACTAACTGGTCTGTAGTTCCCAGGTTGGCATCTTGACCCTTTTTTGAATATTGGTACTACCATAGCCTTCCGCCAGTCGCTTGGTACGCTACCAGTCATTAAGGAGTCCTTAAAAATTAGGAATAATAGTCTCGTTATAACCTGGCTGAGTTATTTAAGTACCTTGGGGTGCAGGATAATTACCGATACTTTTTCTTAAAGGGACAGGTCACATTTTTTCTAAAGCAATACAAAATCATACCCAACAGGTGTCCCAAAAGTGATGTCCCTCTGTGCTTACCACATATGGTAAAAAGATAAAGCTTTGAAGAAAGGGAATGGGGTTTTGAAGTGTTCCACAAACGTGCAGATGTATTTTTTTCTAGAACACCCTTAAGTCCCAGAGTCACAGCCTCAGATATGTTACCCCAAAATATAACCGTCAAAGTCTGCTGATTAAAAGGATATCACACAAGTATAATTTTTTTTTTTGTAACATAACTAGTTGGTGAAGTTTAAAGGGAAGGTTTGCATTTCACTTTAGGACAGTGAATAAGAACAATCATACACTGCTTGGCTAAAAAAAGTCACCACCTGGATATAGCTAAACAAATACAGTAGGTAGGAGCTTTCCATTGGATAATTAGTCTAGGTTCAGCAACATTATGTGCCTAACAGGTTTTTCAATCAATGGATGTTTTTCTTCCCTGATGCCACAGGCATATTTGAAGATGACAATGTCAGGATTCACGGGACTCAAATTGTGAAAGAGTGGTCCTGGGAGCATGAGACGTCATTTTCACACATGGACTGGCCACCACAGAGTCCAGACCTTAACCCCAATGAAAATATTTGGGATGTGCTGGAGAAGACTTTACATAGTGGTCCGACTCTCCCATCATCACAACAAGATCTTGGTGAAACATTATTGCAGTTCTCGATAGAAATAAATGTTGTGACATTGCATAAGCTTATTGAAAATATGCCATGGTGAATGTATGCAGGTCCAACAAAACATTGGAGAGTGTGACTTTTTTGGGGGTTTGGGGGGTGTAAGGGGGCGAATAGTAGTTTTTTTAATTAATTGTCTCGTTTAGGAACCTATAAGTGATGTATCTCCGTAATAAAAAGATATATGTAATCTCCATGATTTGTTTGTGAAAAAATTCCAATAAAAATTATAAATCCAATCCAAAAATTAAATTAAAAATTCCAATCCAAAAATTATAAGTTTTATAAAAACAACAAAAAAGTACACCACAGAGACTTTTTTGTTGTTTTTATAAAACTTTTTATTGGAATTTTTTCACAAACAAATCATGGAGATTACATATATCTTTTTATTACAGAGATACATCACTTATAGGTTCCTAAACGAGACACTTAATTAATATCTATCTACTTTGATCACATAGGACAGTGGTCCCCAACCCCCGGACCTGCACTTTGTACAATATATAAAAAATACAGGGTAGGAAAAAAAAAGGAATTCAGTGTCTAAGGGCTTGTTCACACCAATTGTGATGCGTTCCAGAGTGGCAGCTGCTGGAACGCACCACAATCGCTCACAAAACTTCCCCCTGCGTTCTGGGGCGTGATGCATGAAACTCTCAAACTTGTTCTGAGAAATATAGTTCTGGGCCTTGATTTTGATACACAAAGGTCTTTGTGAAAAATATCTTTTTATATCCCAAAGATAACAAAATTATGGAAACTACACTTTACCCTTTTCAGTAAAATGTCCAGTTAATTAGGCATGCTAAATACGTTTAATTTTAAATAACTTCCCTTTATCCCTTTATGCAGTACCGCACAATTATACACACACACACACACAATATGGAAATTACCAATGGCATATTAAGCGGCCAGAATTTTTTACTCAATGTGACAGTTCGGAAATAGCTCGCTGTGTCACTTTGCAGGCCCTTAAATCTTAAGTTTAGGCTGCACAAGGCTAAGCTTTACCTATGAGCCTACCTACTGCCATTTACCATCAAATGCCTGCAAAAGTTTTGGCAATTGACAAGAGAACGCCATAGGGCTTGACTTAGTGCTAGGCGGGGTGGGACTTTAGCTCAACTATTACAAAAATTGAGGACCCATGTAAGGCCTGCATTTAGGATGCAAGGGTCACCTAGTACATAGACGGCACAAATTGTGGGACAACCATTCTTATGCTGTCCTAAAGTCATTTGCAAAGCATTAATGGTCCTGAAAGTTCATGATGATCTACTGAATCTTCCCATTTTAGCAAATATATACAATTCGCCATACAATATATATAAAAAAACAAAAAATTAAACAAATTTTCGCAAAAGTAATACAAATTAATATAAACTCTGGGAAATAGAAATTGTTAGATAGTCTTTGTGCAAGGGTTGTGAATTGCTGCATCCTCAAGGCAAGTTATTTGACAAACATAACTTTAATAAACAGCAGAAAAGAGCAACAGAGAATCGGAATTTACATGTAGACAATAGATGGGAGAAGTAAAATGGCCTACACCATTATGCAATGTAGTAGGAGATGTGCACCTGCTTCTTAGCTTACAGGAAGGCTCAGGGTAATATGGCATATTCTGAACTAACAAAAGGCCTTGTTTTAGCTTTAAGCTAAGAGTATGATGAACACCCGACTACATTTATCAGGCTTGTCCCCGTGGGGAAAAAGAGCAGAGATATTAGAAGTGGTTGAGCCAGGTCCATGCATGCCAACTGATATTCCTTAGCAGAGATTCAGCTGTATAAAACAAAGATGCGGAGAAGCAAAGTTATGAAAAAGGAAAATTAGATTTCATGCAGCAGACATTAGGTGCGTTAAAATGTAAGTTATTAACATTCTGATAACGTTTACCATTTCAAATAAAAAGAGCAAGTCATTGGTTTACCTTTACAATATTATATTGTTCACAGACAACAACCAAAAACTTTGCTTATTTGCAATTAGTTTACATCATTTCATAATTAGACCATATATTTCAGAGGATAACGTCGCATTTTAATGATCCCAGGCTTATCAAATGTGGTTTCCAAAAATCTATTAAGGGTGTGCTGCACAAGGGCTCACACAAAACCATAACTATAACCAGTGATGGTTCCAATAGCCCTTCTAGTGTACAGCACTGGCCACAGAGAAAGCATGCAGTATTAAAATCAGATGAAGCCCTTAATTTAGATTTGAATGAGCACACACTAATAACAACCGATACAAACATTGCAGCACCTTCAGAAAAAAGGTTTAGCTCTTTGGAGTCCAAGCATTTGATGATTAACTCTGTGCAATGGAGACTACTGGGTCCCCAGGGCCTCACTAGTCATCCTCAGCAAAACAAATTGGCAGTCAGCTTGACATTTTTTGGCAAACAGTCTAATATCCCCCGAGTCCACATAGAGGGTGTTTGCTATACACAGAAGCAACCATCCAGACAGATATTTCAGCAGCGCCACTGTACACAAAATGACAAGACCATACAATACTTACGGCTATCATAACAAATATTCCCAAGGGCACGTCCCGTTTGCAGCAACACCTCCTGGTCTTTACAGTTCAGAAGCTGCACCAGCGGGGGAATCAGACCCGCGTCCACACATGGAATGCGCATTTGTTCTGAAATATGGTAACAAATTCACTTACAGTTTGTTTGGCACATGCAAGCTAGTCTCAAAAAAGCTTGACAATTTTACTAAACATTTCAGTGGCAGCAGCATAAAAGTTAATCACCTTCTAGGTTTAGCATTAGCATGCTTATCCTAAACATATAAGACAATTAAATGTCTGAAACTGTTCCATAAAACACCTGAAATCATAGTAAACAAAACATAATTGAAAACACTTACAGGAAAGCACAAACATGCATCCGGAAAATACAAGAGAAATATATGGGTCAGTATTAAAGCTATCAGATCATCTGAAGTCTTTATACATGGCAGGCTTCCTTTACCATTCAGGAATCTACAGTAGGTTTCTAGGATGATTTAAACCCTTTATAGGAAGGGAACTACAATAATTTCAGTTGCAATAGTCTGAGTCCTCTATAAATGCTATAGTGCTTTAGCATGTATATTCTCTGTGGAGGAGCTAAGGCACCTGTGGGTGCTGGACAGCATTGGATAGGGGATCAGGGGAGGCAGTGGGCCAATTAACCACGCTTTGGAATGATGAGACTTAAAAGGGAGTTTAACTAAGGTGGGCTTGATTAAAGCATATATGGAACATTAGAACTGTACCTGTCTTCAGGGTTGTTAACGTAAAGATGAGACAAGCGGTCACCATATAAAGCCTGATAGATAGGTGGCACCTTTTTAGACATACCTATTGGTTTGCTTGTATCCCTCTGGGGGTGAATGGGATCTATTCTGACAATATGGACATATTTAATGGTTTTAGATTTACAGATCATAAAGTATTATAGGTACCTCTAGGTGGTCCCCTTAGGCCCCATTCACACCTATGCGTATTGTAATATGCGCGTCTGTCACGCGGTTTTTTTACCGCGATTCGCGGTAAAAAAGTCGCGCGACCGTCGCGCGATTCCAAAGGCTACTTGGCAGTATACAAATGGAAAACGCCCTACAAAACGGACCAATACGCAGCAAAAAACGCTCCGGGACCTTTTCATGCGTGGGCCATTTTGTAGTGCGTTCGGGACGGGTGGATATACGGACAGGTGGGAACGATACCATTGACTACAATGCTATTTATTTTTTTGACCGTTTTGTAGAGCGTTCATCGAGCGTAGGACGCGCTACAAAACGGTCAGGTGTGAATGGGGCCTTATAGGATATCAAATGTATGGGTCTTTGTGCACATGGATGGCATTGACTTGTTTTAATTGGCTGATCTCTTCTCATTCAAACTAGCTGAAATAATGTTACCCTCCAGCAACAAAAATGGACCTTAGAGTTCAGGAAATGCATCCAGTATTCAGCATAGCTCATTATTTTATTGAGACCAAGATTTATATAAGCTTTTATATGTATGACCCTGTAATAATGGGCATCTGGGAGAGAAGCTTTTGTATGTAACTGTAAAATTATCAGCTGTTTTATTCATGTAATGTTACTGATGTATAAATAAAAGATGTTTCAATTTTAGAAAAATGTTTTCACAACATTGTGGTGCCTAAAAGTCCCATTATGTTTTGTTATGTTGAAATTGTCATTAGGGATTAATTTATTTGTATTGGTCAGGGACTTTTATTCTGGTTAGGAATATATGAAAAACTGTATATGAGTATTTTGTATTTTCATATCTAACCAACAGGTGGAGCCTTAGGCTTGTTTTCACATGTTTTCCATTAAGCTTCAAGGGTTTCTAAACCCTCCGTTTTTTTTTGCATATATCTACTGCTATCAAGCAGTAGATATATGCAAAACGTTTTTTAAAAAAAACAAAAACGCTTTAAAAGCGATTAAAACTTACCCCTGTTCGCGCTGCGTGCTCCCGTCCAAAAATGCGAAACTGCTCGGGCGGCCGCAAAGCATCTTGGGGCGGGCGCATGCGCAGTTCGGATTTTCGGAAGGGAGACGAGGAGAGACGCAAGGTAAATCTATGGACGCATGCACCCGCATGCAGACACCGTGGGACAGGAAGTGCCAGCTTTAATTAACATTGGGGGGAGGGGAAATTTTTTTGGACTTTAATGTCACTTTCAGTTGAAAAAAAATCCTATGTTCAAACAAATGGATAGCTCAAGGTAAAATTTACACACAGAACAGCAACTCATTTCTGCCCATACTGCCATTTTAGAGGTTTTTAGGAGCTCTTTTGAAAACATGTAACGCTTGAAGAATTCCGTATATGATTCATGATAATATACACACTCTCTCACACTCACGTTATCCGGCATCCACGGGAATTGATAGATTCTGGATAAATTTTGTTTGTTTGCTTGAGAATTACTTTTAAAAAAAAGGTCTAACTAATGCCATACCCCATACTATACATAACAAAACTCTGTAATGACTTCATATTAATATTAAAATGCAGTAATCAGCAGCAAATTAAGACAAATGTGCACACAATCGTTTCCTGGATAATACATGCCGCAGATCAGCAGAACAGTGAGTAAACACATGGGATTTAATTTTTCTGGTTAGATAAGAGTTCTGGTTAGTTGAATACCGGATAACAGAGTTTACTGTATACAGTACTGTGCAAAAGTTTTAGGCAGGAGTAAAACAAAATGCTGTAAAGTAAGAATGCTGATCAGAAATAAAGTGTTAATAGTTTATTGTTCTTAACAAAATAGAAAGTACATGAACAGAAGACAAATCCAAATCAAAGGGTGTGACCACCCTTTGCCTTCAAATATAGCCTCAATTCGTCTAGGTACACTTGCACACAGTTTTTTAAGGAACTCGGCAGGTAGATTGTTCCAAACATCTTGGGAGAACCAAGCACAGATCTTCTGTGGATGTCGGCCACCTCATATCCTTCTGTCTCTTCATGTAATCCCAGACAGACTCAATGATGTTGAGATCAGGGTTCTGTGGGGGCCAAACCATCTCTTCTATGACTTCTTGTTCTTCTTTACGCTGAAGATCGTTCTTAATAACATTGGCTTTATATTTGGGGTCATTGTCCTGCTGCAGAATAAATTTGGGGGCAATCACACACCTCCCTGATAGTATGGCGTGTTGGATAAGTATCTGCTTGTATTTCTCAGCATTGAGGACACTATTGATCCTGACCAAATCTCCCAACTCCATTGGCAGAAATGCAGCCCCCAACTTGCAAGGAACCGCCACCGTGCTTCACTGTTGCCTGTAGACACTCATTATTGTAACGCTTTCCAGCCCTTCAGCAAACAAACTGCCTCCTGCTATAGACAAATATTTTTTTATTTTTATTCATCAGTCTAGAGCACCTGCTGCCATTTTTCCTGCACCCCAGTTCCTATGTTTTCATGCATAGTTGAGTCGCTTAGCCTTGGTTTCCAGGTCGGAGGCATGGCTTTTTAAACACAATTTTTCCATGAAGACCACTTCTGGCCAGACTTCTCCGGACAGAAGATGGGTGTACCTGGGTCCCACTGGTTTCTGCCAGTTCGGTGCTGATGGCACTGCTGCACATCTTCCAATGTTTAAGGGTCGCTAGCATGATGTGTCTTTCATCTGCTGCAAGTTTCCTTGGCTGACCACTGCATCTACGGTCCTCAACATTGCCCGTTTCTTTGTGCTTCTTTAACAAAGCTTGAACAGCACATCTTGTGTTAATTTTGTTTTTATTTAGGTTTTAGCATAGATACAATAATATAGTTCAGAATAATCTAATTAAATTAAGCAATAATATAATCCAAAGGAAAGGGGAAGGAAGGAAGGGGGGAAAAAATGGGGGGGGGGTATAAATAAAAAAAAAAAGAATCATGTCTTATACTCATGCTCACGGGAAATAAAGTACATCAAGAAGCAACAAAATCACCATTAGTGCTCTCAAGTGATTGCCAAGGGGACCACACCTTGTCAAATTCAGAAATAGTATTATGCAACCGGGCCGTTAGGTATTCTAAATTATGGATATCGTGGATCCTTCGCAATAGTTCTTCATGAGATGGAGGGGTAGATTGTCGCCATTTTAGAGCTATAAGGACCACTTCTGGCTAGACATCTCCGGACAGAAGATGGGTGTACCTGGGTCCCACTGGTTTCTGCCAGTTCCGTGCTGATGGCACTGCTGCACATCTTCCAATGTCGAAGGTTCACTAGCATGATGTGTCTTTCATCTGCTGCATTAAGTTTCCTTGGCCGACCACTGCATCTAAGGTCCTCAACATTGCCTGTTTCTTTGTGCTTCTTCAACAAAGCTTGAACAGCACATCTTGAAACCCCAGTCTGGTTTGAAAGCTTTGCCTGGGAGAGACCTTACGGATGCAGTATAACTACCTTGTGTCTTGTTGCTCTGCTCAGTCTTGCTATGCTGTATGACCTGGGGCATGAAACTGTCTTCCACAACCTCACCTTAGTAGCAGAGTTTGGCTGTTCCTCGCCCAGTTTTAAGCCTCCTACAAGGCTGTTTCTGTTAATGACTGTGTTTGAAACTACATATGAAATTGATGATCGTTAGCACCTGCTTCATATAATTGGTTAATCATTGCTCACCTGACTCTAATCCTACAAAATCCCTGACTGTGTGCAGGTATAAGAATTGACGCTGGTTTGAAGCCCAAGGGTAGTCACGCCAAGTATTGATTTGATTAAGATTTTTCTTCTGTTCACTCACTTTGCATTTTGTAAATTGATAAACCATAAATATATATATTTTTTAAAGCATTCTTACGTTACAAAAAAATTTCACACCTGCCTAAAACTTTTGCACAGTAATTATATATATAATTTTTTTTATATATTACAAATATACATACATACGCCCACACCTGCCTAACTTACAATTAATTTGACAATGGACATGGCACAGGTTACATGGAACCAAAGGATCAGTGCAGGTTAAACATATGGAGGCTAAAGGTGCAGGGGTGTGGACATTTTTGAAAAAACTACTTGTCCAAGGGCTAAAGCGGGGGTCAAATCTACTTGTCCTTCATGACAATCTACTTGTCCCAATACAAAAACAAATATTTTGCTTTCAGTACTCACTATCGCTTTCAGTATCGGTGCTTCCGTTGGCATGGAGCAGGCTTCTCGGGCAACGGGTAATGAAATACTACCCGGCTTCCTGACTGCCAGGGAAGCCGACTCCATGTTGTTTGGCCGGCTTGATTGTGAATGGCTGGGAAGCCGGTTTCCAATCAGCATCAAGCCAGCTTGCTAGCCAATCAGGAAACCTGGCGAAGAGTAATGACCTGATTGGCCGGGACGACGGCTCGATGCTGATTGGCAGCCAATCAGCAAGGAGCTGGCTTCCCGGCCAATCAGAAAACTGGGAGGTGGGTCATAAGTCACTGCCCCGCTTCCTGATTGCAGGGGAAGCTGGCTCCATGTTCCCCTATGGCACTGCTGGTCGGAGGAAATCTTCCTCTGACCGGAAGTTCCAGTATTGGGGATGGTATCTGAACATTTGGGTGAGTACAAGTACTAGCCCAAATACTCCGTATCTGTGCATCCCTAATCAGAACTGTATTTGACTGTGCTAAATAGCGCTTCTCATTGGTCAGCGTGGTCACCTGACCACACTGACCAATGAGTGCTTGCAATTTGCGAGCAAAATTCAAAATGCATAGGGCAGGACTGCGCTGGACAGTACGGGGTAAGGACACCTGTACTGGCAGAGGGTAAGGACTGTTCGCAGAAAGTTAAGTATAGCTTAAGCTATACTTAAGTATAGCTTAGGGGGGTGAGAGAGACCAGGCCAGATTTGATTGGGTAATTCCATTTTCCCGTATTACCTGGGAAAGTGAACACACCCTTTAATGCACATTGTGCGTGTGAGAGAGTTCTGCTGCATGGCTACCACAATATGGCACACAGTGAAATGGCGGCAGGACTCAACACACAATTTCCTATGCGTGCGTTTATTTGTATGCAGATGGCAGGGGCAGCGGAGTTGGTTTTAATTATTTTTTTTTAACTTTGTCACTTTAATTTTTATATATTTGATTTGTGACTTTTTTATAACTTTAAAAAAAATGTTTTTTTTCATTTTTTTACTCCCCCTCCCTCAATTTTATTCCTATCACACAGGGTGTTAAAATCCTCTGTGATAGTTTGGAGGTGACGGGTTCTCTTTATGGAACCTGCCCTCCAACACAGAACAGAAGTTCTGTGTAGTTCCTGACAGCTGAGACAGGTGGCGCTGTAATTACAGCGCCACGGTCTCAGTGATAGCACAGAGCAGACGAAGAACGGAAGTCTGATCTGCGGGCTCTATGGTAAGCTCCCGTGCTGTGGTGACAGGTCCCCCAGAGGAGCGGGGGACCCTCCACAATATACATTTAGCTCTGCTTGTCCGGAGCCGGGCTAAATGTATTAAAAAACTACTCGCCCGGCGCCCGAAACTGCATGTCCCGGGCGATAGGAATTCCACACCCCTGAGGTGGTATAACTTCTGCTTAGTAATCCAACAGAAAAAGGTCAGCGGTAACTTAAATGCCATTTTAATTGTCAGATGACAGAGAGTAGGTGCTTCTATTTACATAGCTGTAGATGTTATGTCTCATCAAATGTAACATTCTTAATTGAGAAAGCAAACCTGTAATTAAGATTATTTGTAATATATGAACAAAATATAAAAAACGAAAACATAGACCAAACTCCATTATACTTTTCATTTAACAATCTTTGGATGATTAAGTCCCACTACAAAGACTGCTTATTGTAATAAACACAAAATGTATCAAAATATCTAGGAAGGTAAATAAAAATGGAATGGCAGCAACAGAACTAGCTCTGACAACAAAAATGTGAAAATGAATTAAAACATACTGACAAATGAGGTGAATAACGGAAGAAGTTCCAGCAGATAAAGTTCTCTTGGAAAACCTCACCATTTTTTGCTATTTCTGCTATGATGTGAGCTATTTTTGCTGTGCAGGACGATTGTGAATTCAAAAGATTTGCAAAGACTTGAAGGATTCCGCTCTGCTGGACTTTTTCACTGCTCTCAATATCTGAAAGAAAACATTGACACAACTTAATACAGATAGACTTTGAATTGTAGCTGTAGGTTCAATATTCAGCATTGAAGAAAATCATACTATTCAAACTCAAACTTTTTTTCTGTCCTACATGTCAGTCATTAATGACCCTTGATCTGCATTTGATGTCTATTAAACATTTCACTGCCGAAGCCTCTTTTTTGTTGCACACATGTTAAAATGCATCTTAGGCCTGAAGATTTCTTAAAACCTCTGAAAGCAGAAACCCTGTAGAATAAAATGGTAGCAGCTGCAGTTTTGTATGTCACATGATATTAATGCAACTGTTTACCAAACCCAAATTTTCAGTAAAAAAAATACACTTATAAGTTAATTTTAGTGCAAATAAATACAATACATTACCCAATTTTTTGGTAAACTATAAGAGAATCAAGCTTCAAAATTGTGTGCGCCCATGAAATGGTGAAAAGCTACGGTACCCAAATTTTTCTATAGGCTACACTTTAAAAGCTTTTAGAGGTTATAAGTTTCGATTTAACCTTAGAATTATTGCTCTCACTCCAGTGTGAGTGGCGATACCCAACATGTGTGGCCCTTATTAAAGCGTAAGTCCACTTTCCCAAGTGGATTGGGAAAATGGAATTACCCCTCCAATCTGGCCCCCTCACCCTCCAACCTCCCCCCACCCGCTACACTTGCCTTTCGGCGAACGCTCCTTCACCCCCACCGTGTATTATCTGTACTCCATACTGCTGTGTAGTGCAGCCCTGCGCTATGGATTTTTAAATTTGTTTACAAATGGCGAACTCTCATTGGTCAGCGCAGTGACCTGACAGCGCTGACCAAGGAGCATTCGCCATTTGCAAGCGAATTTCCAAATCCATAGCGCAGGGTTGCCCTACACAGCAGTACGGAGTGCAGATACCGTGTTTCCCCGAAAATAAGACAGTGTCTTATATATTTTTTCTACGAAAAAAAAGACACTAGGTCTTATTTTCGGGGGATGTCTTACCTGGCTTGGCTGCAGCTGTCCGCTCTGCCGTCCAGGAACCATCTTCAGGGATTTCTATAATATGAGATCTACCACCGAACTAGGTCTTATTTTCGGGGTAGGTCTTATATTACAGAAATCACTGACGATAGTGCTAGGTCTTATTTTTTCGGGGTAGGTCTTACTTTCGGGGAAACCCGGTAGTACACGGGGGAGGGGAAGGAGTAGTGGCCTGACCTTAATATATACATACACACACAATTTTGTCATGTGCCATCTCTGAGCCAGCATCTCAAGGCAGGAAGTGGATTATGACCCTGAAAGACCTAAACAAAGATGGTTCCATGCTACAATCACGTAATTTCCATAACAGGATGTTGATGAGGATCTTTAGTCTTTTTAATGTTTTAATTTGTGATAAGTAGTCTATACATATGCTTAGAAAAACAAAAAAACACTATTTCTTTCTATGTACAGTTGTGCTCCACAGTTTGAATACCCTGGCAGAAATCGTGACATTTTGGCATTGATATTGAAAATATGACTGATCCTGCCAAAAAAACTGTTTATTTATGGATAGTGGTCATATGAAGCCATTTTTTATCACGTAGTTGTTTGGCTCCTTTTTAAATCATAATGATAACAGAAATCCCCCAAATGGCCCTGATCAAAAGTTTGGAATATTTGGCCTTGTTACAGACACATGAGGTGACACACAGGTTTAAATGGCAATTAAAAGGGTAATTTCCCACATCTGGGGCTTTTTAAATTGCAATTGGTGTCAGTGTATCCATAGTCAATTAGTTTGTTAGCTCTCACGTGGATGCACTGGGCAGGCTAGATACTGAGCCATGGGGAGCAAAAAAGAACTGTCAAAAGACCTGCGTAACAAGGTATCGGAACATTATACAGATGGAAAAGGATATAAAAAGATATCCAAAGCCTTGAAAATGCCAGTCAGTACTGTTCAATCACTTAAGTGGAAAACCCGAGGATCTCTTGTTACCAAGTCAAGGTCAGGTAGACCAGAAAGATTGCAGGCACAACTGCCAGAAGAATTGTTCAGGATACAAAGAAAACCCTACAGGTAACCTCAGGAGAAATACAGGCTGCTCTGGAAAAAGATGGTGTGGTTGTTTCAAGGAGCACAATACTACGATACTTGAACAAAAATTAGCTGCATGGCCAAGTTGCCAGAAAGAAGCCTTTACTGCGCCAATGCCACAAAGAAGACTGGTTATATGCCTCACAGCTTCTGCCACACTATAATTTGGAGTGATGAGACCCAAATCCCCACCATAAGCGCTATGTTTAAAGAGGGGTCAACAAGGCCTATAGCGACAAGAATAACATCCCCACTGTGAAGCACGGTGGTGCCTCACTGATGTTTTGGGGGGGGTGTGAGCTCTTAAGGCACGGGGAATCTTGTGAAAATTGATGTCATGATGAATGCAGTATGTTATCAGAAAATACTGGCAGACCATTTGCATTCTTCTCCACATAAACTGCGCATGGGATGTTCTTGGATTTTCCAGCACAACAATGACCCTAAGCACAAGACCAAGTTGACCCTCCAGTGCTTACAGCAGAAAAAGGTGAAGGTTCTAGAGTGGCCATCACAATCTCCTGGCCTTAATATTATCGAGGCACTTCTGGGCCTCAAAGACAACTATTACAAAAGACTGCACACGGTCATTGATGCTAAAGGGGGCAATACACAGTATTAAGAACTAAGGGTATGCAGACTTTTAACAGGGGTCATTTCATCTTTGTATTTGTTGCCATGTTTTGTTTTATGATTGTGCCATTCTGTTATGACCTACAGTTGAATATGAATCCCATAAAAAAGAAAAGAAATGTGTTTTGCTCGCTCACTCGTCTTTTCTTTAAAAATAGTACATACAGGTGAAACTCGAATAATTAGAATATCGTGCAAAGTTCATTTATTTCACTAATGCAACTTAAAAGGTGAAACTAATATATGAGATAGACTCATTCCATGCAGAGCAAGATAATTCAAGTCGTGATTTGTCATAATTGTGATGATTATGGCTTACAGCTCATGAAAACACTAAGAACCCCAAATCCACAACCTCAAAAAAAGTAGATTATTACATGCAATCAATAAAACAAGGATTGTACATAGAACAATATCGGACCTCTGAAAAGTACAAGCATGCATATGTACTCAGTACTTGGTTTGGGCCCCTTTTGCAGCACTTACTGCAATTACTTTTGCACGATATTCTAATTATTCGAGTTTCACCTGTATATTAACAATTCTCCAAGGGGATGACCTAGTAGACAAGATGTCCAGCTTTGAAATGACAACCAAAATTGCTCAGAGCTCAAGGATGCTAATGAGAAACAAAGCTTCCTCCAATGAGCATGTCTCCTGAACCAAGGGGGTATCTAGGAGGCAGGTAGCCTTGATGAGGCAGGAAAATGGGAAAGTAAGTAAGCAACCTTTATGTCCATAGAGGCCAGGATTTCAGTAAAACCCCTGGCAACATTCCTTGATTGAGATGGGGGCAATGACCCCCTTAGAGAGGAGCTGCTGAAAAGTAGTGCACCTGCTTTTTCAGGTAGGAAGGGAGATTTGAGAACATGAAGAGTGAAGGAGGCAGAGATCGAAACTCCAGTTTGTAGCCTCTGGATACGCTCCGGACCCAGACATCTGGGATTTCCTGGGACCAGATGGCGGAGAAGGCTTTCAGAAGTCTCCTCACTCTGACCAGCTGGGATGGCCCCTCATTGCAAAGAGAGCTTGTTCCTGGACTTGATAAAAATCTTGTGGTGGAACAGTGTGCCAGTTTTGGAATGGAGCAGGAAGCCTGAAAGAAACAAAAAAAAAGGAACTACTTCCAAGTCTCAAGAACCTTGAGGCCCTTGCATTCTCTTTCTGAAGTAGGAGGCTACTCAGTGACTTCCCTAATGTAGGCACTCAACAAGTTACTAGAAAGGCATTCACTATCAAAAGTGCACCCTGGATATACTAGATATCTGGTAAGATGCATCAGCTAACCCATCTACGCAATTAGGCCACAGGCAGGAGTTGTAGTTGCTGGTGGACAGATGGATCTGTCAGAATGGAACCAGGGCCACGAACCACGTGCCTAGTCCAGACAGCAAGGATCTGGAAGACAGACATGCTTGGGACAGCAAGTTGCATGATGGGACAGATCAAGGGGAATAAGGTCTTAAATAATGCCTCTACCTTCTTGTCCACAAGGTCCTTGAAAACAGGAATGTTCTCAACAGGAACCATAAGGGTTTTGTTGACGCTTGGAAATGGCCGGATCCAGAACAGGGACATTTCTTAAGGAAACCTCAACCGGACATTACTGAGCAAAGCATTTAGGAGGGGAGAATTTTTTCAGGGTGAGGCCAGTTACTGTACAAAACGAGGGCTGCGAGCATACAGGGAAGGTCTTGACAGGTTTGGGCATTTTTAGAGACCCCAAGCTGGAGACCATAGGATGAACTGATGCAAGGGCTGCTCTAAGTTAAGGCATGTGCATATGGCATCAATAAGGATTCCAATTGTATCCTTAAGATTGGAGAGATCTCAGCAGATAGAAACTCTACTGAACCCCTAGAAGAGGAATCAGGGAGTGCAGAGAATATATTATATACACACACAGACTACATTTTTGTTTCCCACTAAGGATAATGCCTTAGTCAAAGTATTGCCACTGGAGATCTCTCTTCTTTTCTGTTCCACTCCCTACTGCCTTATTGACCAATTATTCACAATTATGCAAATTACTGTGCAACCACCTGATCAGTCATCCCCTATGAACCACTACATTCCAAAATGCCTGATCTTAATGCCCTGACCCCAGTCGCAATAACATACCTGTCTGCTCTCATATCCCTGTTCCCAGCCATAAATATAATTATACTGTATATATAT